AAAAGTTCAATTCTCTCTCATATTCAGTCCATAACTTTCATCAAAACGTTCAGGCTGCACCCAGATTCTGTCTGCAAGAACAAGACAATTAAAAGTACAAACCATGATCTTCCAATGGTCTGTTGATCGGCATTTTAGAAGTTGATGAATAATAAAACGACTCGGAAAGAAATAATACAGCAGTATTTTATTTATTCATTAAGATTTTATTTACCAGTACATCATGAAGCGTATATTGTCACTTAACACTCAATCATCTCATTCACAACAACCCGGCTTGTTTGAAATCACAAAGAGCTTCATATACAGTAGAAGTTAATTCGTCAGATCGTCAGAATTCGGAACATAAGACTGATGTGTTTTTCATCTCTTCCGTGAGTAAACGGATTACTGTGTACTAGTATATCGCACACATAGGGATTTCCTGTGAGTATGCAATAAACGCCACCTGACAGGTTAAGCCACTCTGTTTGTTTTCACTGCTATTAGTGGCGGCCAAAGAGACAGCTCGCAGTTCCGGCAATTACTGATTGCGCGAATAATTGGCCGCGCGATGTAGTCTAAACTGTCAATTCCGCAAAAATTGCACCACGCGAAAATAAGTACGTTTACAGTAGGTGAAACTTCTCATCCCATAAACCTCAGAATCAAAGAACACTTAACACCTACCAAAAAATTCAGACTGAAAATCAGCCATCTCAGACCACATAATCAAAAACCTTTTTACAACATCAAGTGGGATAATGTACAGATATTACCAAAAGAAATTCCAGGTCTTGATCAAAAGAAAACTGTCAGAAGCAGTTCAAATCCACCGAGACAAGCCCTCAAACAAAAGAGATCAAGGATATCTCATCCCATACGCCAACAATGAACTGATAAAAAACAAGAGAACAGAGCACTCGGCCATCAATGCTAATTAAACCTATCTGTTATCTATTCCCAAATGATGCATCATAATATAATAAAGAACTCGTTATCCATAAAGGATCATAATAGTGAAATTTATAACGAATGCTCAAGGGCTAACACACTATCTGATTATCATTACCCCATGCTGTCTGTGAGGTGCTAGAAGGTTAATATTCTCATGGCTTTTCCACCGGGTACCTATTTTCTGTTGGGTGATCAGAGGCAATTTTGAAAAAACTCCCTTGCCTAAGGTGAGACCACATGTATCACACGTGCTTCATTGTGGTGCAGGACTGAAGTCCTAGAAACTCTCAAGAGTCAAGCTGTCAAACACTGTCACCCATCCAAGGACTCCCAGCGCCCAACGTTCCTAAACTTCAGCTTATTTGTGACCTGACCATAGACCACCATATACCTTTCTCACTATCTTCCAGTGTTAATCGAAGAAAACACATCCAAGTTCAAAATAGTTTTGTCCACTGTTTTGACTTTGTGAATGTGTGAACAACAACAGCACCTTAACATGTACAGTTGATCTGCAGCAGGGGGCATGGACTTGGCAGTTTGTGAAATGGTGTTATCAAAACATATTGTTTACGTGTGTATTCCATGATATGTGTTAGGGTTGGGTATCGCCAAAATGTTCGTATTGCGATATATTGCGATATGTGTTAGCGTATTGCAATATGTATTGCAATATATTGTGAAAGTTTGTTTAGTCAACCAGAGGCTTTTATTGCCATGACACCATGACACCGAGGCTCTGAGGTCATAGTTGAGGCTTATGTTTATTAAGGAAGCTTGTAAAACAGTATTGCTACTACGCACGGTAACATGACACAACAGCGGTAAATATTTGAAAGTTTTTATGAATATCACGGAGTAACAGGAGTTTTTTCGCAGTTGTAAGAAGCGATTTTATTGGATAAATGTTGGTTTCTAATGACGCTTTTTCGCAACAATCTGCTATAACATTAGTAACTACTCGCCTCTTTCCATGACCTACAAGCGGCTTGATGAAATGACACGAGTAGTTACAAATGTCTGCTATAAGGATCGTGATTGGTCAAAATCATGCACGTGAGCTAAGGCAACCAATATTATTACAGCAGTGGATACCGTCCTCGTAAACGAAAACTTACAATTTAGACGAAAGTTTTGGGTAAAATCATCCTATTCTGATCGAGTTACGTACAAAATCACCACCTTATGCAACTTAGTTGATGTATCGTGGTTGGTTATGACCTGTGGCAAAAATGCTTCAAGCATATATTTTAGCATTAAACATCGTGTCAGAGCATGAAGTTCGAGGCAACGGAAGCTGAGATGTTACTTGACTTACATTTCATGTTTGCACACAAAAGGATGGGAATAGTAACTTATAATGTACAAACTGTTTGAGGGGCATTCTAGAAGTTCCAAACAATAGGAATGACAAGTCTTTATGGATGATCAACTTCTTTATTGTATAATAGCGACGTTTCGGTATAGATATATATTTCACTTAAGAAATAAAGTTCGCTCTACCCCAATGTGTTTTGTAATAAAGTATAGTTTTGCCCTGAACTATTATAATTATCAAAGCACTCGGAGTCCCGTCCCTAGTGCTTTAATTATAATAGTTCAGGGCAAAACTATACTTTATTACAAAAACACATTGGGGTAGAGAGCTTAACTTTACATCTTTCTAAGATGCTAAATTTAATACTTTCTAAGGATAATTACGATTAATTTAAGGCAGAAAACAAATGGCGGTGTCGGTGACCTAAATTAAGAATCCTCGCACAGGGCTAACTGGTGCTTGTTCTATTGATGTGTCTGCCCCTACATTAAGACAAATGTTACCAGAAAAAACAAATGATAACAGTTTGATGACGGTTTACGTTCGGATTAAATATCTTCTCTGAATTATTTTAATTACATCTGTCATTAACGTAAACCATATGGGGCAATATCAACGTCGCATTTCTTCTACCAACGTAAGTTTAGATCAGTACATCCAGATGAAGCAGAGTAGTCAGCGACATTCCACGCGATTGCATTGTGGGAATGTAAACATTGCGAACGTTACCGTGTCCCTGAAAACTTGTGAGTCGAATTGAGACATTTTAACCGTCGGAAAACATAAACGTAATGTTTCCACCAGTGATGTTAGCTGCGTGAAGCAACTGCAAAGCAAGAAATGGGATGCAACGGAGTAGTTTACTGTAGGAGGCCGTACGAGGCGATGACAACTGACATGCATCGTGACGTCACTTACATTGTGACGTAATGTAAAATAATTCGATTACGAGGGGGCACACTAGAATGGTGCAGTGACGGGATAACGTCATTCAATTGTTACGTCATCAAAAAACTATACCTTTATTGTCTCATAATGTATTTTTTTTTTGATTGTTCTAACAGCTAGGCATCTTAGAAACCATTTTCAAACTTGCTCAAACATAATGTACGTTTAACAACTTTTATTAGTACTGTTCTTTATATTATTCTTTAGTTTATTCAATTCGTTTAATTAAATCCTCGAAACATCGTTACTTTGCTCTTTGACAACTTTGATGTGGACCCGTTGCCGAAGCATGTGTCCGAGAATCAGCGGGGTTTTTTCAATAACATTGCAAAACATAGTTTATAATTCTAATTTTGTTGATAACATATGTTCATTTGAAATGCAATAAGTGTTTTCAGACATTGTGAAAAGTAATAGATTTAAGAAATGAATCATATGTAGGTTGGAATAAGTAAAATATCGTAACTGAATACATCATGAACAAGGGTCAGAGAGTGATATAAGTACAATATTGTACCTGAGTAATTCATGACCAGGACCAGAGCGTGGACTTTGTACAACACTGAAATTGATACTGAGGTGAGGTGAAATTGGGTTTAACGTCACGCTGGAGAATATTTCGCTCATATGACAACGTGCATGCGTGTGTGTATGTGCATGTGTACTAGCCGAGACTGAAGTTGGTTTTAGAGTGCTAGCCCACTGAGATACCATGCCGCAGTGAAGCATGAATACCCCATTCAGACACATTATACTGACTCTGAGCCGACCAGTCCTTGTTGTACCCATTAATGCCGAGCGCCAGGCAGGGACCAACAAGTACCATGTTTAACGTCTTTTGGTATGACGTGGTTGGGGATCGAACCCACGACCTTCCGCTCTCCGGGCAGACGCTCTAACCACTACACCACGGAGGCGGTCCTGAAACTGATAGTACTTACGTTCATGACATTGTCCAGAACATGCTGTAAGTACAATATTGTATCTGAGTACATCATGGGAAGGGCCAGAGGAAGGTGTTTGTACAATAACTTGTAGTACATACGATGATGATAAGAACCAGAGATTGGCATCAGTACAGTATTGTAACTGGTAGTACTTACGGTCATGACAAGAACCACAGATTGGCGTAAGTATATCATTGTAACTGGTAGTACTTACGATCATGACAAGAACCACAGATTGTCATCAGTACAATATTGTAACTGGTAGTACTTACGGTCATGACAAGAACCACAGATTGGCGTAAGTATATTATTGTAACTGGTAGTACTTACGATCATGACAAGAACCAGAGATTGGCGTAAGTATATTATTGTAACTGGTAGTACTTACGATCATGACAAGAACCACAGATTGGCGTAAGTACAATATTGTAACTGGTAGTACTTACGATCATGACAAGAACCAGAGATTGTCATCAGTACAATATTGTAACTGGTAGTACTTACGGTCATGACAAGAACCACAGATTGGCGTAAGTACAATATTGTAACTGGTAGTACTTACGATCATGATAAGAACCAAAGATTGGCGTAAGTACAATATTGAAACTGGTAGTACTTACAATCATGACAAGAACCAGAGATTGGCGTAAGTATATTATTGTAACTGGTAGTACTTAGATCATGACAAGAACCAGAGATTGGCGTAAGTATATTATTGTAACTGGTAGTACTTACGATCATGACAAGAACCACAGATTGGCGTAAGTATATTATTGTAACTGGTAGTACTTACGATCATGACAAGAACCAGAGATTGGCGTAAGTATATTATTGTAACTGATAGTACTTACGATCATGACAAGAACCAGACAGCAGCCATGCAGGCATCAGGGTTCTGATGATGTTCCATGTTGCTACATTAGAGGTTGGAAGAGCTGCAACAAATTAATCAAATATGAGAATCTCATGAGCATCAACATCACCAAAATCTGGTGACAAGTACTGACTTGACATTAGTTAAGACAGATTCAATCATTTATATTTTATCAATACCAAACTGTCCAAATGAAGAATCTGGTTAGAGTGCATTTTACTGAAATTGTAAACTGTCATGCCAAATTCACGCAATATATAATAAATATATAATTATCAGTATATTTAAAATGTTAAGGGACTGGGGCTGGGACTGGGACTGGGACTGGGACTGGGTCAAGCGCATGCCAATGTACCCAGATAAGGACGTTATGGAATAGTTTAATATAGGAGACTGTACGATGACAACTGACATGCATCGTGACGGAGGTTACCAAGGGTACGTTTCCTCATGAGGGGGAGACGAGAATGGTGTTAGTGATGTCAATACAGTGTGGCATCATGCAAAAGGTGTAGGTACTTTATCGACTGATTGTTGGTGCCTTTGATCTTTTAGCGAAGTATCTTAGAAAGCAGGATAAATGTCAAGTGTCACATTTAACAACAAAGAAACCCATGTGAGTCTAACAGTGTCATCCTCCTGTCAAGACCATACTTTCAGGTTATAAGACATCAAAATATTACGACACACAAAATAATGTCAACAAAATTACCTCAGGCAGGATTTAAATTTCTCTATTGCTTTACACTGTCTGTGGAATAAAATCCTGATCAGTAACTGAAAATATGCATTGATCTATAGACTTTTCAGATAATTTTCTGTTCTTCAGTCATAAATACCGGTACAGTATTAGCTTAAAGTTTGTTTCAGCTGATATTTTAAAAAACCCATTGCCTTCAAGAAATAATCTTTTCCTCACTTTTAACTGATTAGGTTTTGAAGTCTACAAAATCCTGCTTCCATGAAGGTCTTGATTCATTTGATTTTATTTTTGCAAGTTAAAAACTTTTCAGATGACTGTTTAACAGACTTTAAAAAAAGTACTTTACCATTCACAGTGAGAATGGTCACTCTGTAGGGATTGAACTCAAGAGGGTTTTGTGGAGCAGCTTAGATTCAGAACACTTACAACAGACATGACTATAGAGTTATTTCCCTTTGACTGCTGATGCTGGCAATCCAGCTGTATGGCTTACATATGCACTCTCAACACAATCCTACCTTACAAACAGAAATGTATCACACTTACAAATAATACAATTATGATTGTGTTGAAAAACATGGTCAAACCCTCCTACTTCCTGGATAATTGCAGCTGTTCCATACCAGACACTGACAGGTGGCTTCTCACAAATATTATTTGTAAAATCAAATGATAATATGTCACAGAAACCATGGTAACCTGAAATCAACATTTTATCAATTTATTACACATTTCTAAATATCTATCAATTATCAATAAATACCGGGGAGGTAACTTTGAGCAAGAAAACAAATTTGTCTAAAGGAAATGAAGATGGTGTACATCACTGGCGAGTGGTGACATGTTTTGGCACAGATATTCAACAAAACAGCATCCTGAACATAATTAGAAGCAGCCCATGATTAAAGTCCTAAAACTGCCTATTGTGTGAGAAAATTAAAACTTTTTTTCTATCACAAAAGTTAACATACAATATTATCATAACACAATTTTCATATCAATAATCATTAATACTTTTAACTATCAACGATTTTTCCCATTATCGATCATTTTAGCCAACCCTGCTGATTGATGTCAATTGGATCAAATGCTCATTCAAATATCTTATTCTGATATCCACCTCTTGTCACAAGTTGCATGGATATGAGCACTATATAAATATCCTATAATAATCATCATGAGGCAAGAGTTAACTGACAACAGAAGTCCAGTTGCACCGTGTTGAACAAAGCTTGAGTTTGGGAGTTACGTTTTGGCTGGAGTCTATGCATAATCCAATCAAATCGACACCAGGTCTGCTAACTGCCAAATTCCATCAAATTTCGATGAAATGCAGGATTTGAAGAGCATGTGTACCATCCACAGTGAACAGATATTTTCCAAATGTTTCCATGTATTTAAACCAGATGCACTTCATTAGGTAAGACTGATTTTATCCCATCACAGATACACTTTCTTGATGACTTGTCAGGACACCACAGCCATTCTATTTGAAGCAAATGTAAATAATATGATACGTGAAATTTGATTGGTCAACAGAAAAGAAATAGATAGGACATAACTCTTAATAGCCACTGGCTGACTTCAAATCAATCCAGAAATTGATCCAACTTTGGTAAGGGTGGAAACTGGGATGGACTTTTAAAGTCAGTTAACGTCCTCCTCTGGGGAAGATGGACCCCTCAGTTGGTTCCATTAGGCGAACCCTGACTGAAAACTTTGACCTGAAACGAAGGATGAATGGGCTCATGTGTTAATCAGAGAGCTGCTTTCTAAAATTATTCATTTTCATTTTGTTACAGCCTCGATTCAGATTGGAAATTCCATCTGGAAAAAAAATATACCACAGGAAACATAGTAAGATGCCACTGCACTGAGGTAAATGACAAAATTTATATAATACAGGGCTCCAGATATATATATAAAAAATATGCAATATATTTTGACTTCCCAATGGTGTATATTTATATATCCATGATACTGGAGTAAAGCTTCCAAGCGAAACACGACAAGATTCAGTACTCTAAGAAGAGAGTTCACTAGAAGGTTCACCTGGCCTGACCTCATAGGGATGTGTACCTTGATCTTCATGCAAAAGGCAGAGAGGTATCGTATCAATTCAATGTAAACCATCATTTTAAATAGATTGTAAATTGCTATTTCAGTATTTGTTTAATGCCAAGAGCAAAAGGTCCTTACACACAGAGATTTTGTATAGCTGTATTTTGTTTACATGTCAGAGGACATAACAGGAATCATTCTTGAATCTCAAAATTGCTATTTGTTGTTGGATCCAAACTTCTCGCTAACAAATTATTAGCTATGTACAAGTTCCTTACAAGATGTGGGACATATAGTGATATCAGATGCATTCATTTAAGTACATGTATAACACATATGATTTCTCACAGCAAAACTAATCAGAAGTCAAGGTAATATCAATAGCCAGTGCACATGTACTAAATGATAGGCTATATTTAGACCAAAATACAACACAAAGGTAGCTCTGACATTTCTAAAATGTCGCACACTTCATAATGGTACCCAGGAATCCCACAAATGGGGATTATGTCCATACTGGAATAGATTATCTAAACCTCTGTACGAACCATGTAAACAATGTCAACTGGTAGAGTCTTTGCCGATTAGATGAAACGAAGAGTATGTCAAAGTCACTTTTCTCACCCTGATGTTAAGACTGTTGACCTCACTGTTTGTAAATGTTATCTGCTTTAAGGCAGCTCACATGATGTAACAGACCTGTTTAACGCGATGGGTAACACATTCCCGGAAGCCATTGCCTCCACAAAAAGGAAGTGGTTACAATATAAACAGTCATTAGGACAACAGTTTTCTATTTATTCACTTGAAAATTCCTGTAATTTAATATCCTGGATTAATATCCAAAACATGCTAAGAAAAATGTAAACATTCATAGACCTTGAAATTATTATAACGTAAATGATTACAATAGCCACCTTCTAAACACAGACAACTAGTTATAACTTTACAGACAACCACAAACTATATTGTTGTGATATAATCTATTTTCCATACCAAATGGCATCGGGGATAAAGGTTAATTATTTTCTTCCAAACAGTCCAGGGAATTATCATGGTATTATTAGAGGACGATATTTACTCTGTTGCAAATGCTAAAGAAAATACGAAAACATAATTTAAGACTTCCACAGATCACGATTTATATAATGCTAAACATTGCAACAGTAACTTGTAGTTTAGTGGTATCATGACTAATAAATAGAAAAAGGTGTTGATCCTAATGTTTAGAACTTAACACAGTTACATATATTTTAATTGTAATTTTTATATATTATATTTTATTAGATATGGACAGAGAAAAGATATAAAACCATCTTACACACTAATACCACAGTAACTGACACGCTTATAATAAATTTGCCACCTGGTGTATGCTTTAATCAAAATGTGTGCAATGAACTATCATTATAATGAACTGAAATCAGTTGTCCAATTCATAATATCTGTAGTTTACTGTATTTTCCATTCAGTATTCCCAACAAGGTATCTATTTAAACAAACTTGTGTGTTCAGCCAATATTCAAAATAATCTTTTGTTCCAGGTCACAGTGCCTAACCCAGACACACGACTGTTGGAAGTAAGAAAAACAATTTTGAATTCTAAGCTCTTGAACATATATACTGTGCCAGGGATTTATTAGGAGTTGCTAAGAGACCATTGTTTGCCCAAGTCTGCAGCAAATGTCAGTAAAACTTCAAAATTTGAATAAATGATGTTCTAATTCTCAGAATTTACAAAAATATGGATGCTTCAAAAGAATTAAATTTCAGACAATATGACACTATTTTGCCATTTTGCAAGCCAAAGGCACATAGTTTATAATCCTAGAAAATCCCTGTATACATAATATTAGTGAAATTATGAAATTCATGTGAAAAGTATGAGTGACATGAATCACATGAATCATGGGATCCACTTCTGGAGGGACATATTCCTTGGGCTTCATGTCATGTCATGGTGATGGGGTAGCCTAGTGGTAAAGCGTTCGCTTGTCACGCCGAAGACTCAGGTTTGATTCCACACATGAGTACAATATGTGAAGCCCATTTCTGGTGTCCCCCGCCATGATATTGCTGGAATATTGCTGAAGTGGGGTAAAACTGAAACTCACTCACTCTTCACCATTGATTCCATTGAAGTTAGATCACCAGTAAGTGGGAAACACTAACACTGAACAATAGTTAATAACTACCTCTGCCTCCATGGCCAAGTGGGGAGAGGTTGAGGCTTCTATCCCATGCTGTGTCATACCAGAAGACTTTAAAAGACGATAACCAGGACTGGCCCTCAGCCA